AGCACAGGTCTTGTAAGGCAGTGGGGGAGTGGTAAGTCCAAGAGCAGGAGTTAGGTCCAGATCATCTTTAGATGTTCCTGAAGGTGGCTGGAAGGTAAATCTCTGGAGGAGGTTGGTAAAGAAGAGGAAGAGCTCCATTTTGGCAAGATTCTCACCTGCACATACTCTCTGACCTGGAAAAAAGCATACATGGCAAGAAAAGGTGGGTTTATTGGTTTCTTAAACTATTTTACATGGCTTCCCAATGTACCTCAAAGGAATAATTTTAAAGAAATAATGAACCCTCCTAACCCACCTGCTACACTGATACTCTTTCAAGGATACATTTTCTTACACACAGAGTGATGATACCTGCAGAGAAAGGCATGAACGCATCCCTCTTCACAAACTTTCCTTCCGAGTCAAGAAAATGCTCAGGATAGAATTCATGAGGTTTCTCCCACTGGGATTCATCATGGAGCACAGAAGTCAGCAAGGGAATGATGTGCATTCCCTAAACAATGAAATTATATAAAAAAGAACATTTTGCATTTAAAACATTTCTGTAACAATATTATAATGCAATTTTATGTCATTGCTTAAAAGGCAATATTAGTTGACAATATCAGTCTAATCTGAAATAAAAATAACATCCTGAATAAGACATCCATCAAAATTCTACTCAATAAAGACAATAGTTTGTCCCATCCCGCTAGATCTTTTGTAACATCATTCTATATTTTAACCCTGTTTTCCTAAAACAAAATGCAATTCATATTAGTCAATGTGACCCCTATAAATATTTAATCATCTTATCTATTTTTTCATCCCCTTTTCTATTATTTTTTTGTGAAGATCTTTCTCTTCTATTGATTAATTTTAAAACCAGCTAATATGCCCAAATGTTTCACTTTCTTCATTAGATGTTCTGTATCATTCTGGGGTTCCTGTAAATTCAAAACTGGTAATATGTGCTTTCTGGAATGGATAAATAGACTTACTGGACTCCAAGAGAATTATCCCCAAAGACCACATCTTCTACAATGCTGAACATAACATCCCAGTTCAAATTATTGAAGGCCTCCTCAACATACAAAAAGTGCTACTTATTTCTCATTTGATATTAGACATACTCCATTGTATTCAAAACAGTTCTCATATTGTCCCTTAGTTATCCTCTAGGTAGAAATCCACGTTTATCATACTCAATAAAATTATGTAAGATCTGAAGTTGATTTGGAGATATGATAACTAGATCTCATGTGCTTTCATAGAACTGGTAGGAAACAATTTGGAAACCCACTACTGACCATGAAATACTTCATGTGCACTTAACTAGCCTTGTATTCAATTAGCAAATGCATGGGTGAAAGAAGGGAGTGGTCTTGCTCAAGGTACGAGATTCACTCCCATGAATCCTCAGGTTACAAATGGAATGGGCAGGCTCCATTACATCCATAACTTGAGGACTACCTGTCAGTGGTGGGGTTCAAATTTTTTTACTACTGGTTCTGTAGGCATGGTTCGGTGGGCGTGGCAGGGAAAAGATACTGTAAAATCCCCATTCCCTCCCCACCCCACCCCACTAACCTGCTTTCCAGCTCCATTCTCCTGTGCAGGGCAATAAAAGAAGACCCAGCCAATCAGCTGGGACTTGGGAGGCAGTGAATAGATGGGGATGGGGCCAGTCAGAGATGGTATTTGCTGGTTCTCCAAAATACTCAAAGTTTCTGCTACCGGTTCTCCAGAACTGGTCAGAACCTGCTGAATACCCCCTCTACTACCTGTATGTAGTCTATTTGGTCTCAATGTTCTCTATTTGGTGAAGTCCAAGTGTATAGTCACCACTTGGGTTGTTCAAAGCATGTGTTCATTATGCATAGCTATTGTTTGTGGCATAGCTGAATCAGATGCCATAGCGAACAATGAGCTGACAACGATTATGGTATATGCTTTAAGAGCAGAGGTGGTATTCAGCAGGTTCTGACCAGTTCTGGAGAACTGGTAGCAGAAATTTTGAGTAGTTTGGAGAAGCGGCAAATACCACACCTGACTGGAGTTTTTACAGTATCCTTCCCCTGCCATACCCACCAAGCCATGCCTACAGAACCAGTAGTAAATGTTTTTGAATCCCAAGAGCTCAAGGTTTGCTTAACAGCTGCCAGAAGAACAGTCATAATATTGGGCATGGTCACATGGTGACACAGTTTACATCTGCCATGACTTATGATTGAAATTGTGGGTTCAATAATAGTTATAAATTGTTTATACTGTACAAAGTATGATTGGAACATTAACAATGGGATTATTTCACAGCAATCACCTTGGGAATGAAGAAGCCTTTGAAAGTTATGTCCATGGCGGTTGCATGGGGCAAATTGGTTGGAACAATATCAGCAAACCTTTGAATTTCATGAATGACAGCATTGGTGTAATGCATTTTAACTCGATCTTCTGTCCTTGGCTGACGAACCCCAATCTCTTGGGCAATTTCTTCTTGGATTTTCCCTGGGAGAATAGAATCACATCAAGATGATTCCATAATTTGAATTTTGTTTTAAAGGGGAGTTTATGCAACAGTTCCAAAGTACATTTATAACATAGTTCTGAAGATAACATTTTGTGTTTTATGCTTGTAATTTTCTTTCTGTATTTTTTTTGCTTTTATTCACTATACTGTATGTCTTATTCTATGATTATCTCCATGCAGAAAAAAAGGTTAATTAGTGAGTTATTATTTATATTTTAAATAGAAATAGAAACTATTAAATACTTAGTGAAGTAGACGAAATAAATTACAGGAAGATTGTGCTTGGAATATGTCATTCTTAGCAAAAAGCTGTTTTCAATCTTAGCTTATATTCAGCAGCAATGGGAGGTGATAGGTGCATAATGCACATTCTGTGGCTGGTACGCCTTTCAGAATCTCTGAAGGTACATGTGTGAGTGTAAGCCCGTCTTATGCTGACATTCTCACCTCACATTAATTTCTTCAAATATACCGGTGAAACTCGAAAAATTAGAATATCATGCAAAAGTTCATTTATTTCAGTAATGCAACTTAAAAGGTGAAACTAATATATGAGATAGACTCATTACATGCAAAGCAAGATAGTTCAACCTGTAATTTGTGATTTTGATGATTATGGCTTACAGCTCATGAAAACCCCCAATCCACAATCTCAGAAAATTAGAATATTGTGAAAAGGTTCAATATTCTAGGCTCAAAGTGTCCCACCATAATCAGCTAATTAAGCCATAACATCTGCAAAGGGTTCCTGAGCCTTTAAATGGTCTCTCAGTCAGGTTCAGTAGGAATTACAATCATGGGAAAGACTGCTGACCTTTTTGTGCAGAAAACCATCACTGACACCCTCCATAAGGAGGGAAAGCCTCAAAAGGTGATTGCAAAAGAAGTTGGATGTTCCCAAAGTGCTGTATCAAAGCACATTAATAGAAAGCTACGTGGAAGGGAAAAGTGTGGAAGAAAAAGGTGCACAAGCAGCAGGGATGACCACAGCCTGGAGAGGATTGTCAGGAAAGGGCCATTCAAAAGTGTTGGGGACTTTCACAAGGAGTGGACTGAGGCTGGAGTCAGTGGATCAAGAGCCACCACACACAGATGGATCCTGGGGATGGCCTTCAAACATCATAGTCCTCTTGTCAAGCCGCTCCTGAACAACAAACAATGTCAGAAGCATCTTACTTGTGTGACTATTTTACATTGGTTCTGTCTTGTATTTTTCCACAAGAAGA